GCCTGTTTTTTAATGATTTCACTTCAGTAACTACTGAATGACCAAATGTTCACTGGTTTTCTCACTTATTACCTTAAACCAGGTTTTCCCAAACTGTGAGGTGTATCTCCCATGGGGAGGTGCAGACAAAGTCTGGGGGGAGGTATGAAGAACCTTTTAGTTACATCCACCTTTCCCAAAGTTTCATTGTATGTTTTCATTGTTCATTTGTGTTCATTTTGGTGTTTGGATTTTTAGGGAAGGTGCGTACATTAAGATTACACTAAAGGGAGGTGTGATGGGAAAAAGTTTAGAAACCCCTGCCTTAATCAAATGTAATTGTGAGCAGTGACATATTTGTTTATTTATTTATTCATTCAATTTATATAACCACCCATCTCACATAGGCAGCTCACAAACTTACACACACACACAAATAAAAATAACCAAAATCATAACAGAAGAACATTAAAAAACATTAAAACAATATAAATTTACTTAAAACCATAAAAAAACAAATCTGCAAGACTGCAACCCAGTTTACTAACAATATAAGTATTTAGCAGGCTCCCCACCACCACAGATTCAAATAACTAACTAAATAATACCACCAGATCCCCAGGCCACATGACAAATAGCCAGTCTGCAAGGCCAATAAGGTCAGGACCAGTCTGATCTTATGGGGGATGATGTTCCCATGGGAGGGTGCCATGGCAGAAAATGCTCTCCTCCTGGATCCAGGCAGATAACATTCCTTCGTGGATGGGACCCATAACATACCCCTTTTGCCGGGCCTGGTGGGACAGGTAGATGTGATTGGGGAGAGGTGGTCCCTCAACATGAGGGTTAATATCTCTAAACAGCTGTTGCTGAGCTGATTGGGATAAGTATATCCCACAATTTACTGGAATGGACTGGCCAGCTATAGGAAAGGCTTCTGACAATAAATGTGCCAGTACATGCGATGGTAGTAATGATTTATATCCAGTGGTAGAGCCTGTTGTACATGAATCTAGACCCATATGCACACATTTTTGCTTGGGGCTGGGTGAGGATGATAGAAAAAGTGCTCTGTATGCAACCAACATGCTTCCTAATATTCCTATATCAGCTTTCCTCAATTTGGTATGCAACAGATGTGTTGGACTACAATTCCCATACCCCCAGTGTGAAGTTGTGCCTCTATATATCTATACAGCACCAGGTTGATGGTGGCTATCTAGCCTTTATTGGTCTGTAGCCAATATACGTATATATTGCAGTAGGAATTATGAGTCTTTGTTCCATTCCTACAAAACTCTTGTTTCTTGGGCCAAGGAGAAAACATCCTCTTCTAGTTACTGCAGCTTTGATAACTAAGCCTATTGTTTTCCTCTTTCTCCAAATTAATTGGGGGTGAGTAGGGGAGGAGGAAGAGACAGAACCAATGCTATGCTATTAGGTTTTCCACCAAACAGATTTTTCTGGATTTTGAGAGACTTGAGGAGGGTACTAAGAAAGTTTTTATTCTAATCCCAGTTAAGACTAATTTTATTATTGTTACAGTTAGCCAGATATTTAGACTGGATTTGGCATTTTTATCCACCTATCGAGTCCTTCCCAAGGACCTGGGATAGGCAGATGTTGTTTGATGGTGTTAAAGGTTTCTCCTTCTCCTTCTTCTCCTTCTCCTTCTCCTTCTCCTTCTCCTTCTCCTCCTCCTCCTCCTCCTCCTCCTATCCTGCCTTTTATTTTTATATATGTGTTGGTGTGTGAACTCAAGGCACTGAACATACTTAATTCTCCTGCCATCTATTTTCCCCACAACAAAATAGAAAGCAACTGGCCCAAAGTCACCCAGCTGGCTTTCATACCTAAAATTAGGGTTAGAACTCACAGTGTCCTGGTTTCTAGGCCAGCACCTTAACCACTAGATTTTTTTTAACTGTTAAATTTAATTAATAAGTATTATTATTAGAAATATGGCAGGTAGGTGCCCCTTCTGCACTCTAGAGTCATTTAGAATTCTGAGAGGGTGTGATAGACGCAGGTGCTAAGGGGGACTTGGTTTTTTACAAGACTAACTCCTGGGGTGAATATGGTCAGTTTATATTCCCTATATGAAATCAGTTGGAGCAGAGAGACTGTGGACATCAAGAGAAGTGCCTGGTGGGACATTTGGGCCTGCAGGCATCACCTTACCTCCCCCTAGTGTAGCCAATTCATTTCATTCTTCCTCTCTGAGATAAGAAATGTCATTACTGAATCTTTGTGAAGAAACACTATGCAGATCAGGGGCAGAGTTATCCAAGATTTCATATGCTATAACTTCATTCTCTGACCATGTAATCCTCTTTGTAATTTTTCTATTCTGTATTTTGATTTTTAGGCATACATGCACTCAAAGATATGACAAGCAGTATAACATATCTTTATTTAGATGTGACAAATTAACTAGGAGTTTTACTTAAAGCAGGGACATGCAACATTTTGGTTCCTGGGCCTCATAGTCCCTACAGCCTTGAATGCAGTTTCCAGAACAGCCTGTTAAACACAGAAAGAATTAAATGTTTTGAATTTGTTTAACTTAATCTGAATGTTAAATTAAACTTAGTTCTCATCTTTGCCCTATCCATGTATTTTACCTGTTCCCATCTATTTTGGAGAGTGAAGTTCTAGCATGGCACTCTCAGCCCCTCTAAAATAGTGCATCCTGACTTAAATGGAAGAGAGGCATTATAAAAGCCAGTCCAGTAGCCAGAAAGATTGTCCCATTAAATGGCTGCATCTGGAAGAGTTTATTTTCCATATGCCTTTTATCTCCTTGTATTTGTAACTGATTGCTGGAACTGCATAAAATGCTTTTTTTCCAACAAATAATACCTTATTGTTAGTATCAACTAAACAAAGCTGTTATGCATCTATTGTACTATGCCTGAGAGCAAGAATTGTATGCTGGTTTGTGTTCGTGTCTCTTGATAGCCCATGAGCCAGCCTTTCACTAATTTTTACTTAGCAGTCTGACAGGGGCCTCTGCACATAGTCCCTGCAGACAGCAGTGCAACATTCTGTCATGTTTTGTAAAAAAAAAAAAAAAAACATCATTGTTAATTTGATTTATTTTTTTATTTCTATAGTACACTATAGCATTTTAGCCAAGATCGAAATGTTTCTGAGTAGAGCTAAATAAAATATACATAAACCTAAGTTTAAATTGTTTTTAAATATGAAATAAATCCCCAAAATGTCATATTAGGGACACATAATAAAATTAAAAGTGAAAGAAAACGAACCCATTTCTTGAGAAAAAAAATCTTAAAATTCATAACACATGGATCCCAGCCATATTTCTTAGAAGAAAATTACACCAAGGATGTCTTACTACTAGACAGCTCTATAGCTCTTGCCTACCAACTTTGTGCATCTTGATGACAGCCGGTGAGGAGAATCTCTGATGATGAGCTTAATGCATAGAGAGGTAGAGAAGGATGTAAGTGATCTGTCAAATAACCTAGCTTAACTAATACAGTGCTTTTGCATTTTGTCCAGAAACACATAATCAATATATCTGCTATACAGTTAATATCACTGTTTTATTCTTTTCAATAAATGTGAGATTATGTCCCCTGGATAGAACCTATAAGCTCTGTTATTTTGCAGTCACTGGTCTTTACATGATCTTTGATGCAAATTGAACAACACAGTACTTGATTATTTGCACCAATGACTGAAAATACTCATTTTTTTTCTAAAGTGATATATCCCAAACAATATTTTTCAGATGGGAAAAATGACTTTGCTTTTTTGTTAATCAAAAGCTTCAGGAAGCATTTCTGACATCTCCTTTCATGTATTGATACTATGAACCAACTTCTTCTAAATTAGTGTCCTCCAGATGTATTGAACTAACTCTTAATTTCCAACCAGGTGGTTGTTAGAGTTGGCAGATATATCTGGAGGGTATGTTGGAGAGAAAGCTAACATAAGTTGTGCTTGTATGATGTTCTTTGAATCTGCATGGACATGGAACTGTCATTCAGAAAATTAACCCAGTTTTCTGGTTTTGTACAATTTGATGAACCATAAATTAATGTCATGGTGTGGGTTCATGCAGCATGGCATGCTAAAATATGGATGGCTAGTTAGTGACTCTGTATGCATCACAAACACAGCTACTAGCAAGATACTATGAGGTCCTTTTAGAGCAACATTTTAGTAATCTATCTGGCCAAAAATACTCCTGAAAGGCTCACACAGAAATCACGATAACACCAATTTTCCCTGCTGTCTTCCTTCTTCCCTGAAGCTCTTACTGAAGCAACTGTTGATAGGTCAATGCTTCATAAATTAAGGAGATACCATTTTAATAATAAATCAACTGCAGTGTACTTCTGAGAACAGCTATAAATGTTAGCATCAGTGTCATAATCATTTTTCAAATTTTTATTCAAAAAATCGGTGTATCCTGTTAATTTTGTTAATGATTATCCAAAACAGTTGCATAGTAAGATATAACTAATTGTGTAAAATAAATTTTAAAAAGGAAAGTAAAAGGTATATTGTCACACATTAAAATTACTATTTTTATGGCTCTGTCATTTGCCATAAAACACAAAAATACAGCATCTTAATGATTTCTTAAATTTGGATTTGACAGATGCAACATAATGCCATCACAGTTTGTATAGCTTCTATGTTCTGTGAAGATCTCATTAACGTAGCTATCAGTTCTGCACTTTAGCACTGAGCAGGCATTGGATTCCAAGGATCTTTCCAACCCTTTCATTCCATGTTCCTGTGATTCTGTAAGATTGCTAATGGCAACATTGCATATTTTGGACCTCCTGATTCAGTTTGAAACAGCATTATGTACAAGATTCTCCTAAGCAAGTCATGGAAATGAATTAGAATGTTGCAGATGGATGGATAGATAATACATTCAAGCAAATTACTTCAATAGTAAACCTATAATGAGTTTGCAGTAAATACTGCTATTCTAATTGAAAGCTTTCTCTGCATGAAAATAATGAAAACTATTTCCTCATTTATAAGATATACTTATCAATGACAAATAGTACTTCTTTGTCGTCTGTTTCTGATGTATTACTGCTTGTGATATCAACACTGACCCAGAAAAGAGGTAGCAGAAGGTTCTGAAAAATCCTACTGTCCAAAGTGAGAACAGAAGATCTCCCAAAACAGACTAATATAAGAATACAGTTTAATGGCTGGAATCTAGAATAATTGTACTCCACATTGAAATGTTTCATCATATCCTTATAAATAAAATCTGTTTAGCAGGACATACAGTATGTATATTCATAATTATCAGTCATCTAAGTAAGATGCCTTCATTACAATTTGTGGTAATGAATTATGTACCATAATTATATGAAAATTATAAATAATACCAATTCACTATAAATTAAATTTGGCTGTATTCCCATTTTTTTCTCATCTCATGCTTTTAATTTTTTAACCTTACCATTCCTTTACTCTCTTTATGTACTTTACATAATGTTGCTTATTCAGAGGAGGTATGTATTTTTGTATAACACTGATTAAAATAAAACATTAATGCTCATTAAAATTATGATTTCTGTATATAGACCCACAGTGTTTGTAAACTATTAGTGTTTTATTTGCAGGGGATTTCCAAAGAAAACAGGCAGAACTGCCAGGATTGCATCTGATGAAGAGATTCAGGGCACAAAAGATGCTGTTATCCAGGACCTGGAAAGAAAACTTCGCTTCAAGGAAGATCTCTTGAACAATGGCCAACCAGTATGTAGTTGCAAGATTCAAGAGGGACGTTCCACATAGAGCTTTCAGCAGTTTTCTCAATTGCTTTCTTAACTTACGTACATTTGGAAAGAAATTAACTTTTGTTTTCATGTGGATTTCAGTTTTATATGGTACTGTATTCTGTTTTATCTAGTCTTAAAATAGTGGAAGAAGGAGACAGATCTTCAATACAGAACTGAGTTCCAAGGTCCAAACTGAAATACTCTCTAGTGTGGTTTTTCCATCATGTGCTGAGATTCAATGTAGATTGGGTGAGGAAGATAATATGGGACCCCAGTGCTTTTTTTCACTCAGAAGTTTCTTCCACTTGTGTGATGGGATCTTTCCATCCAACTTACAGTTATTAGATCTGGAAAAATGCTACCTGTAATTGGTCTATTTATGGTTTCTTTGACCACACTAAAGTTATAGTCTGTCTTTTTATATTGCCCCAGAATTTCTAAGTTATTTTTATTTAATCAGTTTATATTATATTATTACTTTTCAGTATCAGCATAAAACTGTAGGCTAGTAAGGAAATTCACTTCTGCTATTAGCAGAATAAGAAAAGAAAAAAAAGATTAATGAGCACCAAGAAACACTTTTTTTCCTGTCCATTCCTGCTTTCTTAAAGGTGAAAGATTACTTCATGTGCTTTCAACAAAAAGGCAATAAATATGTTTAACACCTATGGAGGCTGCAGGAATCAGGCATGCCTGTTGTGTAAGAAAAAAACAACAATAAATTATATAGCCAGGACATGGCTGAAATCCCCTTGTATGGTCCACAGTTAAGTACTCTTGAGTGAGTTTCTAGGATCACTGCCACCAATTAGAATTTCATCTTCTAAATTATAGCTTAAATTTTAACTGTAGTTAATTGGTCACCTGAAAAAATCATCTGGAATATTCATATTTGTTTTAATTTATATCTTATATTTTCAATGAATAGTTCTATAAAGGAGCAGTAAAACTCATAACACATGCTCTTTCCTCTCCTGCTTACCTCTTTTGGTGTTAATGCTTTGGCAAAGTTTAGTCTTTGTCAGTAAAAATCAGTAAGTAGGGCAATTGTTATTGTGGTATACTTGCTTTAATGCAGATATTATATGAAGTAATATACAGTTATTACACTGGAGTTATATATTATTGTTTCTGTTTGTAAATATCTTGAACAACACTTTGTAGTAAGGCAGTACAAATTCCTTCAATATGTGTATAAAATATAAATATGTAAAGCAAATGGAAACCAACAAAATGAGACTTGGTTGCAGGGTCATAGTATGTGTTCTCCAGATCTGTTGAACTACAACTGTCATTATTCTAAACCAACATAGGCAAAAACTGCAATACAACCTGCCCAAACTTGTAATCCTCTAGATGTGTTGAATTTCCAGCCAGGATGGCCAAAGGCAGTCCTGGATGTTGCCAAGTTAATGAAGTTTGCTGTAACAAATTAGCTTCTTTGTCTAAACTTAGAACAGGTTTGATCCAGAGGTCTCCTTTCTTGGACAGAGAGTCTTTAGCAAAAAGGGCCTGTGGATTCAATCCATTGCCAAGATAGGTTCTAATTGTACAGATAGCTCTGGAGTCATTGAATGTACTCTGATCTGATGTAAGTGGATTTCTTATTTTCTCTGGGCTGCAAGAACGAACTGTTCCTCCTATCTTTCTTCTAGAAAGAAAGCTAGCAAATTTCCAAGAAACATTATCTTAAAACTGGCAGCTCTGGAATCCCCTTTTTGCCTCCAGAGCTTTTTCTGACTGTGATTAGTGAAAATTGATGGCACTATTTCCAGCTATTTTAAGGCATGAAACTCACAAAAACTGTAGCAGAAGTCCTAAAATAAGAACAACACTCCCTAGTTCACGGAAGTCATGAAAATGCTAGTCCCGTGCCATTTATGATTTTGCCCCACATACTTTATTTCATCAGTCTGCCCATTGATCTTTGGTAACCTCCAAAAATGTTGACTGTGGCTCTTGACCAGTAGAATTTTGTCTACCTCTGACAGAAATGTATTAGTTACATTGGAGGATGTGTTGAAATTTGGAGTATACTATTCATGTATTCATTGGTAGGTGATGGAAATGTCGTCTTCTTCTTCTGGTTTAGAAGTTAACATATGAGGAGAAGATGGCTCGTCGATTGCTGGGGGCTGACAGTGCTGCAACAGTCTTCAATATTCAAGAACCAGAAGAGGAACTTGCAGAACAGGTGCTGCAAAATAGCTTTCCACTCACATAATAAAATAGCAATTTTCATGTTATAATTGTCTTGTTTTTGAGGATGATGAGAACATTGCCTGCATTTACACATAAAGTTTAATCCAGGTAGGTAGGTAAACTATTTTATGGTCTTTGACCAGCATGTAGTTAATCTGGGATTCTTAAACAGTGACCCTAACAAGCTAATCTAGGCTGGTTCTTACAAAAAGCTAAACCACAATGGCTAGGTTCACATATCAATTAACACCCCCCCACACACAAAAAATCCTTACATTATGGCTTAGTTGTGCAGGCCAATATATGTTTTCATAAAGAGATTCATACTTCATTACATGTTTATAGGGCCAGCTTCATATTTCCTTCCCCCAAGTCTGGTTACCTAAATGGAGTTGAATTACAAGAAATTTTGGATTTGAAGAAAAGTATTCAGGCTTCAGGATTTAATCTTCTGATCAAAGTTATTCTGTGTACCAGCTATAGATAAATTTCAAAGTAACGTGATATCAAATCTACATAAAATGTTTTGGTGTGGAATATTCTGCTTTTTAGTAACACTCCAGCCCAAGAGAGGAGGACATTGGCCTGGTTGTTATACTTTTGGTTAAATTTGAATATGTCTGCTCATGCCCAGTGGCTCCTCCATAAGTGATGTGCTAGTAACCCATCCAACTGAGTTTATATAGATTGTATAGATTGAAATATGTTGTCCAAATGTAGGAGCCGGGTCTTTTTGCCCAGAACTATCCAAAGAAAATAGCTGTTTCTTCTTTTGTATTTGCTTATGCCTATGTTCTGCATCAGATAAAGGCTGCGTCCTGAATTTGGAAAACATGTTTAAATAAAACACGGATAGGTATACTTCTAGCTGTGCCAAGTCATAGAACCTAAGCCATAAATCTAACTTGCCCTATATTTTCATCAGACAACTGAAATGATATATGAATGCAAGAGTTCTGAAGTACTATCAGGTTTTCTTAGTACTGTATGATACTTCTCCCCTCTATAAAATATAGCCCTTTGGGCTGCATTAACTTGAACGTGAATTGCCTATATATCAGGGCCTAGGGAATGAATGGGGCTACTAGTATATTAGGTGTGAATTGGCCTTCTTCAGTTTTTAATGGCCTGCTTTATGGACAATCAACATTGCTTGTTGTGGATTCAGGTCTGCAAAGTGGACTGAAAGATTCCACGCTTGCTCTGAGGCTGTCCTCCCATGGTTTGCATGCATGGGAAGAAACGTGTGGTGTCCTTTCTGTGGTGTTTTTTTTTTTTTAAGACAGTAATGTTTTAGTTGTATAGTAGATAGATATAGACAGCCGTAAAGTATGAAGAAATTGTGGAGATAGGTTAATCACTTAACTAAGAGCTGGTTAATTTGAAGCAGAAATGGAAGGTTTTATAGGCTGCCCAGATTATTTTGTTACAGGCCAAGGCATTTATACTTAACTGCATAGGCAGATGCTTGATTATTCCTACAAAAAAAAGAAAAAAAGATGGGATCTGAATTTGGCCTATACAGAGAACAGAATCCAATAAAATCAAGATGATTTCGTTCAAACTCTTGTACGATCATTGAGAAGCAATTGTAATGCAAAATACAGCGTTTCTTCCCTATATTATCACATGGAATAACGATTTTAAGATCTCCTTAAATTCTCATTTCTTCTGTCCTTCTGCTTTTCATTATTTCAACACCAAATATAGTCTCTGCATCTTGAGATACCTTTTTTTAGTCCAGAAGAAGAACAACATTTCTGCATTTTAATGAAATGACTGGTGGTCATCATTTATAATCAATTCTGAAAAAAGATTTGTCTGAGATTATTGCGGAATTCTCTTACACTTCCTTTAGTGTCCATATTTTTTTCTGCTTTTACAGGGAACTGGTTCTGTTGATGCTTCTATAGTGACTCATGAGGCTGTGCAAAAGGTTCCACTTTCCTTTTTTTCTTGCTTTCCTGTCTGTTGACCTCTTGTCACTTCCTTTTTTGGCTTTGTAATGCTGTTTCCAGAATTTAACCATTGCTTTCTTTCTTTTGCATAATTCTCTAACACTCATAACGTTTAAGGTTATTCTTTGTTGTACAGTATTTCCTTATTCATGGGGAAGGTTGGTTTGTTGTATGAAAACCATGATGTGTAGCAAAATTAAATCCATCAATTACATTTATTGGTTGGAACCCGACACCTCCACCTCAGACCATTTTTAGGGAGGGCAGTTCTCCAGGCCCCACATATGGAGTGGATCCCATTCAAAATATGGTTCGTTATTTAAAATGATCAAACGGATTGTTATTCTGCATTCAGGGCAGTAAACTTAACTAATTAAATATAATCTAAGGGGTTATTTCAGTATTTCCAGTCCTTAAAGCAGAGACATTGTAATCTTTAAATCCACCCAGGAATCCTATTGTGTATGCCCATTGCTCAGCTAATATATTCATTTATATTTTGCTTCATAGAGTGCTGTTTTTAATGTGCCCTAAATGTCTACATTTTAAAAAAAATCTGGAAAATTGAATTAGTTATAATCTCATCAAATAGCCTGCTGGATAAAGTAGCCTTAAAAGACTAACTTTATTTTTTTGTTATTTATAGGAATATAAAGTCTCCAGTTTTGAACAGAGACTGATCGGTGAGATTGAATTTAGACTGGAGAGATCTCCAGTAGAAGAGTCTGATGATGAAGTGGAGCATGGGAAAGATGTTCCTGATAACAGCCTGGCCCCGTATTTTGAGATGAAACTTAAACACTACAAAATATTTGAAGGAATGCCAGTCACCTTTATATGCAGAGTGTCTGGAAATCCAAACCCAAAGGTGAGAAAAAAGAAGAAAACCATCCTTGGACATTTCACACAAAACATTAAAGAACTCTTTCATTGGAGATTCTGTAAAATATGCTCTTTGGGCTTTTCTAATTTCCTTAAAATGTGACCACCCAAATTTTGAATATGTAGAGTTTTTTTTAACTCGTATCAAAATGGCTGTATAGTATAGCCATATGAATAATTAGGATGTTGAATTCCACTGCATATACTTTCAGGTTTTTCCTCAATGTTCAGTGAACTGGAAGATCTATTAAGCCTTTTGGGATATTCTTTGGAGCTTTCCCAACAGGTAGATTCTCAGTTCTACTGGTTAGAACTGATAGTCCAAAAGCCCTTTTGTTAATGACAAACTTAGACATGTAAACAATATAATACTTCTGTTCTAATCTACAACAGACTTCACATGTTATCAGTTCAGCCATGCTTCGTAATACGCACAGCAAAAGAAAATTCATGGCCGCAAAGGTTGGGATGAGCAGGAATTGGGAACCTGGGGTTCTCCTGATGGCTTGAAATACAACTGCCAGCAGCCCCAAGCCAACCCAACCAAAAAGAAGCATGCTGGAGCTATAGTTCAGCAATAAGTCACATTTTCTATACATGTGTTTGTTGTTGGTGGTCCCCAAAGAGTAGCAAACCCTTCTCTACTTTGTATAGTCTTGATATTTCTTAATCTCAAATGGATTTTGTAAACTCTGACATTCTCTTTGGGGTGGTTTTTTTGTGTGCCTTAATGGAGCTAGAATCAGGGGCAGTCATAGCCATCCATTCTGATAGCTGTTTTCCCTCTTCAAGCCATCATTTCTCTCTTTCTGACATCTTTTCTCTCTCTGCCAAGCATCAGGATGCCAGTAGAGCTCCCATAGATCTGAACTGAACTGCATTGAATGCTTGGAAAAATCTGTTGAAATTAGGTGTAGGGCTACACATTGCCACAGGGATGTTGTTATGAGATCAGAGGCATTGCAATGTTATATAGAATATGCATGTCAGAATGTGTAACTGAACATTATTATGTTTGAAATGCTTCCTAAACAACCCCACCATGCTTAATTTAACTTTCTTGTTCCCTGAAATTGCTCTATTTTACTAGCAGCCTGAGGTTATACTGCAACATGATGTTTTGGTATGGTGGTGCTCCTAGTGGTTCAGTGAACAACATTTTTGCTTCTTGTTAAGTCTTCCTCCCAGATTCTGTTTAAGATGTGAATAACCAGTACAAAACTTGTTTCTCACAAGTATGATTCATGAAATCACTTCAAGAACATATATTTTGTGTTCTAAATGATGCATGAGTTCTAAGGGACCTTGGGGTCCACCTCTGCTTTGGGAGTTTAAAAAAACATGAACAGAGGAGAAATCTTTTGAATACTGTGATATTTGGAATAATCTCCTCTTTCTCATTACTATTAAATTTCCAATTATGAAATGGAAGATAAATGTATCTGTGTGCATGTGTGCGTAAGCTGATGCCTTTACTGGGTATCAGTGAACAAAGGGAGCCTTTCAATTCATGGATATGACTGAAACCTAGTTAGTGATTTTACTGCTAGAAGGGTAAAATATCATTTTTGATCATTCTGAACATCCCTTCATCCTGCCACTCCTCTAGAAGTTCCCCTAGTCCTTTTGAGCAGATTTTTTTAGTGGTACAACAAAAGGAAGAATAGTGAAATTATTTATTTTCCCTTCCACTGGTGAGATATCCATGAGCACAACAGCGCTCAAATAACAGCTTCCACTAACAGCAGGAAATTCAGGATCCCAGGCATAGGAAATAGTACAGTTTTTTCCTTCCTTCCTTCCTTCCTTCCTTCCTTCCTTCCTTCCTTCCTTCCTTCCTTCCTGATATAGAGACATTGAAATCTAATCTTTTGACTATATCTCAATTACGAACTCCAGTAGTAAAATACATCTGAGGATAATACACACAGAAGGAAACTGCCTTAAAGGTGAACTTCAAAATTTTGAGATTCTGGCATTTAGTTTCCTGTATTTTATATTGATAATCTTTTTACCCCCAAAAATTT